CGGGAAGGCTCCCGGCAGGAGGCCCCGAGCGGGCTGGGGCTTTTCCCGGAGCCGAGCCTGGGACCTGCTCCTCCGTCTGGGGCAGGAGTCCCGCTGCTCCCGCCGCTGTGGAGTCCGCGGGTCGATGCCACCGGCAAAGGGGAGGGCAGCCCGCTCGCCGCAGCGCGTTTCAAGGAGAGCAGAATAGCAGTTAAACACATCAAGGTCTTGTGCACAGGTACGTCATGACCCCGCAGCACCCCGCGGCAAGACCCACGTCTACAGACCGCTCCCGTGTTTCACGCCGGCCGGCGATGCCTTCAATGCAGCTCTCGGAGCGGCGGGAGGGCCGGGCGCCCGTGGTCACCGCTCGCCGGAGAGGCGTCTGCCGCTGCGGGAGGATTAAGCGCTAGAAATGAGTGTTTGGAGGAGCCTTGCTGATGGGGTCCTACCAGAAAAAGGTTCTTTTACTGCAACTAGTATTTTATTCTATTGTATAATTCATGAGTGCATCACAGCCCCCAGAGCCGGGCAGGCACCTATCAGCGCTTCCAATCTAGACACACGGAGAACTTCCTCGTCATCTGGATCTATTTATTACTCACCTCCCCCTGGCCGGGAGCTCCTTGTCGCCACGCGCTGCTGAGCGGCTGTCGCGTCCAGCCCGGAAAGCTGGGACGAGGCAGCGCCTCTGCAGAGCTCCTGGACAAAAGTGACTGTGTCAGAATCAGCCTACAGAGCATTTAAAAAAAAAAAAAAAAAAAAAAAAAATCTTGGCGATCCTAAGTTTGCTTATCAAATAAAAAGTTCCTCCACATTTATTAAAAAAACCAAACAGTAGATTTAAAAAGCAGTTAAGAGTCCTACTCCGGCAAAACACCCTGTACAGGTTTCTTTTGTTGTTGGTTTGTTTGCTTTTTTCCGATGGCGAGGATTCCCCCTAAATCAGCTGCTTCTGTTAATTTTATATATATATAATCTTTTAATTTTGCCGCGCGTTGCTTGCTTTAATTAATTAATTTATTTCCAATCAGCCTAGCCGTCTCCACCAGACCAGCGGCGCTACCACACAAAGCTTCCTTGATGTCCATGCCCTGAGCGAGGGAGGGAGGGAGGGAGGGGAGGGAGAGGAAGCCTTCGGCAGCCCCTCACTCTCCCATGTGCGTCCTCAGGTGGTACTTGAGGGACTGCTTGTAGCGGAAGCACTTGGTGCACTCGGTGCAGGGGTAGGGCCGCTCGCCGGTGTGCGCCCGCTGGTGCTCCAGGAGGTGATGCTTCTGGGTGAAGTTCTTGCCGCACTCGGTGCAGTGGTAGGGCCGCTCGCCCGTGTGGATGCGCTGGTGCTCCAGGAGATGGTGCTTGCGAATGAACCCCTTCCCGCAGACGGCGCAGGCGTGCGGGCGCTCCCGGGTGTGGATGCGGTAATGGTTGGTGAGCTTGGACTTCTCGCTGAAGGTCTTCTCGCACTGGCTGGATCATGAAGTTGATCTTGAGCATGAAGCTCTTCCCGCACTCGGGGCAGATGTAGGGTCTCTCCCTCGTCCGGTTCCGCTGCTGGGCGATGGCTGGCTTCATCTCCCCAGAGTCCCTCTCGCAGGTGGAGGGCTTTGGGCCGCTCGCCGGTGTGAGTCCGCTGGTGCCGCAGGAGGTGGGAGGGCCGGGTGAAGTTCTTCCCGCACTGGGGGCAGAGGAAGGCCATGTTGCTCTTGCCAGCGTGGATCCTCTGGTGCATGATGAGGCTGATCTCCAAGCGG